CTTTTTAACATATTCTCTATAGTCGATAGAAAAATTTGATCAAACAATGTTGAGAAACCCTAAGTTCTAAGGCGCCAAAAAAAACAACAACCACTAAGAAACAGATAAGGATAAAAACTTGATCAAAAGAAGATAAGACATTGGTTGAGATTTTGAGAGATAAGGATAAGACGCTGGTCAAAGGAAGATAAGGCATTGGTTATTTGAATTTAAATGGGAGATAAAACTTACATAGAGATCAAGTTGTTTTCAGATTTGAATTCTTGGCTGAATCCGATTATTGTTTGGAGTTGTTCAAAATTGGAGCTTGCGGATAACGTTTACAAAAGAATATTTAAAATCAAATCAAGCTTGATATATTACGGGCCCATTCACTTCGCTAATTTGAGTTTGTAATTTGAGTTGAGATGTGATTTTATGTGAGAGCTTTTTACTGTAGCAAAAAAAGTTAGATGTGACTGTTTCTGAGAACTTTTTACTGTAACAAAATTCAAATTCTAAACTCGAATCGGTGAAGTGAACGGGGCCTACGTGAAGCATGAGAGGTTTACATGTGATAAACATATATTGTTAATGTTGGAAGTGAAAGGAGCTTGGAGAAGAAGGCCACGGGTGAGGTAAGATAGGTTGGATTATGTGCTATAAAGGTGATGGTGGATGAGAAGGTTAAATCCGAATTCAAAGTTTAAAAAGATAATTAATTTGAATTTGATAGTTTACTGCATAATTCGAATTGGAGATTGAAAAGATAACGTGAAGATATTTTAGAGTCTATCTAGGAGAGAGAATCATGGAGATAATAGAGATCTTATCGAGAGTGGATTTGAATGAGATTTTCTTCACTTTATTTAAAGGCTTTGTTTCAGAGCATATGTGAGTACAAGTTTAATAGAATAGTTTCCGAAAATAGTCTGTGAGTTTTTGTGAGTCTAGTGCGCTATTGAGATCGTTCTTCGGGAGAGGGATTTGTTGCTTTCAGGAGGAAGCTCTACCGGTTGAAGGGAGTTCACCAAGTGAATAAAAGACGTGTGATGCATGCTAAATAATCACTGTGGAGATTCATCATAGCGGCGTCATTATCTAGGAGGGAGTCATTGAGTGAATAAGTCCGTCCGTTGTCTGTAATTTCTGGAACATAGTGAACTGTTTACTGTCTGGGCGTGGCCCCTCAGATGTAGGTGTGCATACCGAATTGAGATATCATATTGTGTGTTCTTTTGATTTCTGCACTTTACTCTGCTCGAGCAACTGTACGTAATTAACCCGGATCTTAATTAATTAAGCTGTGTTCCAGACAATATTCTAGCATCATCTAAAACACCAGATGCAACATCAGATCTAACAAGAATGTTGGTAACCGTTCCCAAATTTAGTTTGTTTACAAATCACCAACTTTATTACGGAAAAAGTAATACAAAGTTGAAAAAGTTTAAGACAAACTGGCCAAAGGCTTACAAATTAATAGCTCAAAAAGGGAAAACCATTGACGCAAAAACAGATAATGATGACCGAAAACATAGGGAAATTTGGAAAATTACGAAGCATTTGTTTGTCGCAAGTCTTAATTTTCTGAGCTAGATATAGAAATTAGATACATGCATGCATGCATGTATTCGCTATGCATTTTACTTCAAGTTTACCGTGAGATTTATGTGTGTGTATATTATATAATCATGATAGAACATGTATATAAATTAGGATGAGTTTTCAATAATTACGTTTTTGTGGTGGCTATTTATTAAATATTATAGAAATTTAATAGTGTTATCAGATAAGAATTCAATTTCATTAATTATCATAAATTGTTTTAGACAACTATTAATTTAATACAACTATCATATCAATATCTTATTTTAAAACAATGATATTTATTTATGGATAAATGTTAGAGTAACCATTCAATACTGTAATTAAGTAATTGTTTCTTGCGAATATCAGTTTCCAATTTCCAATCAACAACGGGCAGATCTATAGGACATACACGAACACATACTTCACAAGCAATACATTTATCAAATTCAAAATGGATTCGCCCGCGGAAACGCTCCGCAGCGATTACCTTTTCATAAGGATATTGAATAGTTATGGGTAAACGATTTACGTGGGACAAGGTAATCATGCATATAAATTATATATAATAATAATATTTATTGATAGATAAATATTAGAATAATCATTATAAATATATGCATATAAATTATATATATATATATATTATGGGCTGGTCTCACTTACCTTACTATATTTTTCGGTAACGTTACCTCACCCAATTCAATAACGTGTATGAATAATAACAGTACAAGAAACAATTATTTTAAGCGTATGTCTAGCAACTTTACGAGATTCCGATAATCGAAACATGAAACAATGAAAAATTAGGTTTATTACGAAAATAATAGAATTTCTAACGCAATTGTTAACACAACAGAAAAAAAAAAAAAAAGTAAAGTATATAAAATGATAATAACAGAAAAAAAGTAAAGTACATAAAATGATAATAACAATACAACAAACAATTGTTACAAACATAAGTCTAGTAATTTTATGAGGCTATAATAACCTTACGGTAATCTCACCTCACCCGTAAGTGAGAAAACCCCTATATATATATGGATGTATTTGATGTGCATTGTACTCTAGTGTTCCATGACTGACTATGACTATATATATATATATATATATATATATATAT